AGTTCAAGGTCGTAATTTAATACATGTACATTCCGTTTGTGTGTAACATTTTCGTTTCCGGGCGATATCTCAAGAAGCTTTTGAGCTTTTGCAATGAAATTTTATACTATAACTCCCTAGGGCTTCTCTGTCCCTCTCAAAGTGTCCCGCCCCGTTTTTTTAATATTATTTATTGTATTAAAAGTCGCTTGGCACTATTTTTAGCACAGGGGCATGTGGAGAGTTATTACGTATAATACAGGTTGTCGGCGGACTTTATATTCTTATTACATCTATTAAAACTGTTAGTAAAGGCTACATTATACACCATGCATCGTGTAAAATTTTGACAATATCGAACGTGAATATAAACATTATACGTGACCTTATGTTTGCATTTAAATTACGCTTTAATCATGTGCCTCCGTGGTCCAGGGGTATGACTCTGGCTTAACATGTGAGAGGTGCCGGATTCAAATCCCGGACGATCCTTTTTTTTAATTTAATGTTTTTTTTTTTTTTTTTTGGGGGGGGGGGTACTAAATAATAGTATTCAGCATGTGAAATGAAAAAGTTTTGACGTCTCGCTTGTACAAACTCATGAAATCACTATTACAGTGTGATAAATATTCTATATAAAAAGAAACTTCTATACACATATTAAAAAAATCGTTTCTAACGTTGCATTATTTGCTGAAAGAAAAGACTGAATAGGAAAATTTTGTTCATTTAAGATAAAATTATTTTCCACTTTGAATTTTAGATAGAAATATTTTAATTCAAGATATTCAGAAGTGTGGCGTGACTAGAGTGTTCTAGAGTAACAAAGTAATCCTTATCTTGCTGGTTTTAATCTATGCAACTGAGAGACGTGGAGACCAGTCACATGTCGTAGTAAGTGCTAGCATGAAAACTATCCTCACTGCTCAGTTGCAAGGAAAGCCATTGCAAGCATACATTGTGCGTCTTAATTCGCAGCCATCCACTATCAAAAGATTGCATCCCAAAGTGAGTGAAATGTTTTCGAAAGTACATAAAGCAAACAAACAACATCGATACATATAACCATAAAGCGATGTTAATGAACGATGAATGCGCAACTTAAATATGTAGTATTTTCTAAATAGGATGTCTTTTCATAGTTTAAAACTGCACAACATTTGAATTTACTGCTCATCAATGTTAATGTACATTGACCGGATCTAGTGCATTCCTGGGTACATACATAGATGACATATATAAATCATGTATTCTATAACAGGATTCACCTTTGGAAAATGGCATATTTTGCACTCAGTTAAAAAAATGTATTTCAATATGAGAAAAGTATTAAATCCTTTAGGATCATTACAGAAGTTACGCATTAAAATTTTGATCCATAATTTTTTTTTTTTTTTTTTTTTTTTTTTTTTTTTTTTTTGAATTTTTGAAACCATAATCCATGACTTTTTTCCAGATTTTTGTGTAATTGATGGAAATTGTATCAAACATGGGAGTAGCGAAGAGAGCAAAGACTGCAAAGTCTGTGATGCAAATAGCAACAACAGCGTTTGGCAAATAAAGAATGGTAAATCAAAAACATATCTCTGTTTTATGGAATTAAAACCATCACGTTTTTTTTACATTGTGAACTGCAAGTGTTTAAATCTCTTTATAGGACACTGCTATATACAGGAGACCTGTTTCAAAGATTCGGAAGTGAATATTACATTTCCCTGTCATATATGCAATTCATCGAAAGATGTCTTTGAATTTTCATCAAACCAAGGTATATGCTTAACAACAATATAATGCTATGTGTAGTGACAAATTATTGTTATATATTTTCTTATAATATTGTCGTTAGGAAAAGATTTTTCCACACTTTGTCCAAAACGTTTTTTTTAAATACAAAATGTATATAAATCCTATCGTTCATTATATGGTTCGCTGATACATGATAATGAGCATATGAGATATATTATAATCCAAGCTATATTTTGTTGTAAATTATCTCTAATGAAAAAAATCATTTTATCAACTTAAGCTGCTGTGCTTTTTAGCTCACCTGAGCCAAAGGCTCAAGTGAGCTTTTCTGATCGAAATTTGTCCGTTGTCTGGCGTCGTTGTCGCCGTCGTTGTCGTACATTTTCACATTTTCATCTTCTTCTCAAGAGCCACTAATTTTAACCAAACTTGCCACAAAGTATCCTTGGTTCAAATGAAGGGCCACACCTTTTTCCAAGGGGAAATAATTATGAAAACTTAATGGCATCATTTAACAAGAGGCCCAAGGGCCTTAACGGTCACCTGAGTATGATACAATAATTGAAAGGATGCATAGAGTATAATATGAACTGAAAGGTGAAGCTTTGTTGCCCAAAAGAAAAAAAAATAGGGTGATCATGATCAACAAAATAATTGGTCTTAATATTCATTAACAGTTCATGAATTAGGTTCTAATCCGTTCCCCATTTATCACTATCATCATACGGTATATTAACAAATTATCAATTCTTCTGTACTATTTTAATCCCTTGTTGAAATCTCTTACATTGGCCTCTCTTGGTCTTTGATGAACATTTAATAAGACAAGTTATTTTTGTCTCATTTTTATTTATCTACTACTTACAAGTCTATCTGATCATTAAAACAATGAAAGTACTTTTTGTATTATACAATAAAAGTTTTTGCATAATTCTCTTATTCTATTTACCTTTCATGTACATTATTTACAGTGATAAATTATCAAAAGTAAATGGCAAAGGGGAATAACTCCTCTCAGTAGAATACAAACTAATAGAGCCCTGGTCAGGACCAGAACACTTGACCAAATGGTACAGATGTTCAAAAATCTGGTAAAAATTCCCTTCCTTATAAAAATTTCTACTCTATTTACCTCAGATATGCCCAGGTGTGGAGAAGATTTTTAAAGAAATAATGCATTTTTTTTACTACAGATTCACTATATTATCAATAGAGCCCCCCCCCCTCCCCCCGCCAAAAAAAAAAAAAAACAAACACCAGAGCTTCTGACCCTGGGACCATAAGTTTGCTCATCATAACTAAGGAGCAAACAGGATTATTTAATAGAATTAATGCATTTTCACTATATTATCAAGAGCCCACCCTCACACCAGCACATTTGACCCAGGGGTCATAAAATTCACTACTCTGAAAGAAGCACTCTTGCTCATCATAACTATACACTTAGCTTCTTTGCTTTTTAAACCAGAAGCAGAAAAGAATATTTTCAAAGAAATTTTGCCTTTTCACTTTATAATCAATAGAAGCCCCCCCCCCCCCCCCCCCCACCCAGAACCCTTAAACCTGGGGTCATAAAATTCACAATTTTGGAAGAGGCATCCTTGCATATCATAACAATGTACTTAGCCTGTTTAAACAATACCCAGGGGCAGATAAGAAGATTTTCAAAGAAATAATTCACCTTGACTATAGGATCTATATAGCCCCGCCCTAACACCAGAACTCCTGTCCCCGGGGCCATTAATTTTACATTTTTGGAAGAGACATCCTTGCTTATCATAACAATGTACTTAGTTTGTTTAAATAATACCCAGGTGCAGAGAAAAAGATTTTTAAAGAATTAAAACATTTTCACTTTATAATCAATAGAGCCCCGCCCTAACACCAGAACCCCTGATCCAGGGGCCACGAATTTCACAATTTTGGAAGAGGCATCCTTGATTATCATAACTATGTATTTAATGTGTTTATTTAATACCCAGGAGTAGAGAAGAGGATTTTCAAAGAAATAATGCATTTTCACTATATAATCAATAGAGCCCCGCCTTAACACCAGAACCCCTGACCCTGGGGCCATGAAATTCACAATTTTGGAAGAGGCACTCTTGCTCATCATAACTATGTACTTAGTTAGTTTATCTAATACCCAGGAGCAGAGAAGCTTTTCAATGAATTAATGCATTTTCACAATATAATCAATAGAGCCCCGCCCTAACACCAGAACCCCTGCCCCTGGGGCCATGAAATTCACAATTTTGAAAGAGGCACTCTTGCTTATCATAACTATGTACTTAGTTACTGAATTTAATACCCAGGAGCAGAGAAGAAGATTTTCAATGAATTAATGCATTTTCACTATATAATCAATAGAGCCCCACCCTTACACCAGAACCCCTGACCCTGGGGCCATGAATTTCACAATTTTGGAAGAGGCACTCTTACTCATCATAACTATATACTTAGTTAGTTTATTTAATACCCAGGAGCAGAGAAGAAGATTTTCAAAGAATTAATGCATTTTCACAATATAATCAATAGAGCCCCGCCCTAACACCAGAATCCCAGACCCTGGGGCCATGAATTTCACAATTTTGGAAGAGGCACTCTTACTCATCATAACTATATACTTAGTTAGTTTATTTAATACACAGGAGCAGAGAAGAAGATTTTCAAAGAAATAATGCACTTTCACTATATGATCTATATAGCCCCGCCCTAGCACCAGAACCCCTGACCCTGGGGCCATGAATTTCACAATTTTGATAGAGGACTCAATGCTCATTACAATGTTGCCAACAGTTTGACTGCTTAATGTCCAGGAGTAAAGAAGAAGATTTTTAAAGATTGCATTAATTTTGGTGGTTTTAGCCCCATCCCTCATGCCCCAGGGGGGCAGGGACCATGAAATTCACAATTTCTGTTCCCCTTCACCCAAAGATGCTATATGCCAAATTTGGTTGAAATTGGTTGAGCGGTTTCAGAGAAGAAGCTAAAAATGTTCAAATGTTAACGCACATCGCACGACGCACGCCGACGCACAAAAACGGATAGCAATAGGTCACCTGAGTGACTCAGGTGACCTAAAAATCTTCTTCTCAAGAACCACTGTGCTTGAAAATATAAAACTTATGGACGCATCCTCAGGTAGTGTAGATTCAAATTTGTACCAATCATGACCCCTGGGAGTAGGGTGGGGCCACAGTGGGTAATCAAAGTTTTACGTAGAAATACATAGGAAAGAGTTATTTTGATGAGCTTATTTATTTTGCAGATTACTGCATGATAAATGGAACTTGCATAAAATATGGACGTACCGAACCGAACAAAGATTGCAGAATCTGTGATGCATATACGAACAACAGCGTCTGGCAAATAAAAGAAGGTATAGCAAAAAAAAAAAAAAAAAAAAAAAAAAAAAAAAAAAAGAAAGAAATCATGCATACATGATAATGTCATTGTGTTGGTTACAAATACAATAAACACTTATTTTGTAATCCTTTTTACAGGCCACTGCTACATACAAGAAAACTGTTTCAAAGATTTGGAAGTGAATGTAACATTTCCCTGTCATATATGCAATTCAACAGTCAATGTTTATGAATTTTCATCAAACCCAGGTATTTAAATTCATTTGAACCTGTATGTACAATTTTTTGAAATGTTTTTATCAACATTTGCTCTTAGAAACAAGCCCCTGAATTTACTTCAAATACTGATATACTGTAAACCAACTATTATTCGCGTCAACTTTTCTTTGCGATTCTTCAGTTTGAAATCAATTCGCGACGATGAATTTTTGCGACCGAGGAAACATTCTCTACACCAAAGAAGCAAAATACATGGTTAGCGGCGATTAATATTAGCGAGTTAAAGTAGGTGAATATTTCTCGCACGCGAATAAAAGTTGGTTTACAGTATACTATTTTAAAATATCTATAAATTTACTCATTTATACAGTATTATTGAAAAAAGGTTTGATTCAAGCACCACTTATTAGATTGGATATGAGATCAATTGTCAATTTTATTGACATGCTGGAAATATAACTAAATTTTCTATTTGATGAAAAACAAAATAATTTTTCTTCAAGGATTTCTTCTCTTCATTATAGCATATTGGGACAAGAAAAATTAAGACAACTGTTGCAGTAAAAATGGAAGCACTGTCACACTGCATTTAATTCAAATACTTAAGGACGAAGATTTTTTTTTTTTTTTTTTTTTTTTTTGCTTTATTTTGCTGATACAAAGAAATTCATATATTGATTACACGTTTTTCATGCAGTACTTTGTATCATAAAAAATTCAATCTAATGAAAAATAAAATTTCCCGCCACCGTAACTGATCCACCCCCACCCAATTACATGTTTGGTTACATTTTGAACAAAGCCAGACATAAAAAGTGAACCAAGATCACGGGACAATCGAATAATGCATTAAAAAGAGGTTTCTTTCAAGATGTGTGTTGGCACAGTAAAGAACTCTCACTGCACCCGTCGTATGTAGCATGCATCTGACATTTTCTGGCAATTCACCCTAAGTTAATGTCGTCTATGTATCAATGGAAGTTTCTCAAAACAACATATAAAAAACCAACATCATGTTGTTGTAATATTTCGATCGACTGGCTTTTTAAAATCATTTAACTGCTCAACTTTACCGTTTTCCTTCTATTATTCAACGGAAAGCCGGATGTAAAACGTGACTGACTCTGTCTTTTTTGATTTGTTATTTTCAAGCATACTGTAACGTTGGCGGTCTTTGTGTAGCTGACGGGGAGAAAAACCAAGTCAAGTCTTGCTTATATTGTAACACGTCAAGAAGTCGGGAAGACTGGACATTTAACCAAGGTAAATGTTACTGAAATCAAGGTGATATATTTTTCAAGTTAACAAACGATATAAAGATATGATTCTTGAAAATATTTTATCAATAAAGCATTTGAGGAAGTCTACATATTTTTAGCAGCATTATTAAAATAAATTACCAAGACTTTGACCTTCCCCTTTTTGCTCAAAAAACAAAGTAATTGGTCTGTAATCGGGTTGAACACTTGTTCATTTGATGTACAAATCATTTATCAAATGAATGTAAATGCTTCTTTTCTTTCAGATTATTGCATGATAAACGGAACTTGCATAAAACATGGGAGTACAGAACCAAACAAAGATTGCAGAATCTGTGATGTATACACCAACTACAGCGTCTGGCAAATAAAAAATGGTAAATGATAAAAATCAGGTTTGTGTTACAGTGGATTATCTTGGGCATATCATAAACAATAAAAATTCTTTTTACAGGACACTGTTATATACAAGAGACGTGCTTCGAAGATATGGAAGTGAATATAACATATCCTTGTCATATGTGCAATTCATTGAACGATGTGTTCGATTTTTCATCAAACCCAGGTTTATATTTTATAAAGAAACTTGTTATTGCATTTAAGATGGTTTCAAGATTCATTAGCAATGATTTCTCAACTTTCATTTCTTTACTTTGAAGTAAAATCTACTTCAAAAAAGGAGTTTGGAATAATATAGGCATATATTTGTATTAAGTGAAAATAAATATTTATCTTCAAGATATGAAACCAGGAATAATATTTATTGGTTTATTTTAAGCATACTGCAATATCAGTGATCTTTGTGTGGCTGACGGGCAGAAAAACAATGTAAAAACCTGTTTATACTGCAATACATCTCTCAACAGAGGAAACTGGTCATTAAGTCCAGGTAAATAATAGAGCCATTTCCAACCTTCTATACAATACCTCGTTGTAGCTATTTCTTAATTTATGTTCCTAGCTTTAGATATTTTTTTACGGTATCAGGGATGTAAATTCTATATAAATCTCAAACGAAATGAAACCGTCTCAAATTTTTCAACAGTTCTTGTCAACAAAGCACATTGGTTTTTCGATACTTTTCACTATTTTGCACACACACCCTCTCATATATATTTATACAAACATGTACATGTTATTGTTTATATGTTTTTCGTTTCTTCAGATAATTGTTTGATTGATGGAAATTGCGTGGATCATGGAAGAACAGAACCAGAAAAAGATTGTAAAGTCTGCGATTCATTCACCAACAGCAGTGTCTGGAAAATAGTAGATGGTAAAGCAGAGTCATAATAACGCTAAGATATCGTAACTGTTATTTTTGTTTTAATAGTTTAAACAATTTCATGTGTGTTTTTTTCTTCAGGATACTGCTACATAAAAGAAAATTGTTTCAAAGATTTTGAAATTAACTCGGAAATTCCCTGTCAGTTTTGTAACTCAACGAACGATGTGTATGAATTTTCTACAGACACAGGTTTGTATTTTACTTATGTTATATGAATGACAGTAACTGAAAGTGTAGTTGAAATGGATATATGCTTAGTATTTTTAGCTCAACTTATCAAATACCAGAAGAGCTTATCCGATGGCAAGGTGTTTGTTGTTTATCTGCCTTTTTTATCTGAAAAAAATTTTGCTTCTCTTCATACAGTTTTTACCAACTTTCAATAAAATTCCGTACACAAGCATTCGTTACTAAGATACGTGACTTTCTGTATCTCTTTTTGATGAATGACGTTGCCATGGTTATAAAAATAGACATTGCAATGACATTACTTTAAGGATACATAATACAAACAAAAATTTAATGCATGAATTGATGGATGTTTTTGACTGATATTGAATAGAAATGATATAAATAATAAATCCATTAAATATAAAGAAATCATGTGTTTTCTTTTGTGCTAAGATATCCGACTTTGTGTTGTTTTCTATGTATTTTTTTGGAAAATTTTGCACCTATTTTTAACATTGTGACAAAATCTTTAAAAAATTCTCTCTCTTTACCTGGCAAACATTATTCATGTTACCTATTTGAAAATAAATCTATAAGAAATACAGTTGATTTCTGAAAAAAAAAGTTTGTGTTATTTATCCTTAAAACGTTTGTTCATCTTTTAAATGCGTTTTAATGAGATTACATAAGCAATTAAAACAATTACACTGCTTAAATTGTAAATTGTACACTTAACATTAATGTTTTCCTAAAATTTATGTATTGACCTGAAACTGCAATTTCATAAAATATCACGTTCCTTCTCAGAACTTTATAAATGCAGATTATGTCCTGCCTTCACTGTATATGATTCATATTGATGTAAGGAAAAAAAATCAACAATGAAGGACTTAAATATGGGTAAAAGGGCAGCTAAATTAGATAACATATGGACATATTACTCTCATATACTAAATGTAAATGTTTCCCTTTTTCAGACTGCCTATCTTCGACAGAAGGAAAAATGACACAGGAATTCCCATTTTCAAATCCAGTTTTTATTGCAACTGTGTCATTAATAGCTACAATATGTGTCATTACCATCGTTATATCAATCATATATAGACTAAGAACGTAAGTTGTTTTCTTTTTAGTTAAACAGGGAAGAAATATAAGAATGATTCCTTATAACTGTTCAATGTCTATTTAATCGGAGGAAAATTGAATTTTAAAAGCTTTTCAAAAGAAGTGTTATTTACAAGATATTTATCTCAGTGAAGTGCTAACTTATGGAAGCATAAAAACGTTATTGCTAAGTATTATCATGCATCTGGGAATTCAAATAAATAAATGAATAAAATCCAGTGGGAGAAAAGCTGGGGTCACATTCCTGATTCCAGCTTTGTTTTCATATTTACTAATTTGCAAATAATCTTGAATTCTCATGTTAAAAGCAATCCTGCCATATTTACGAGTGTGATATCATATAGTATAGATTAATATTAGTTTATGTACATCGTTATCATATGATGGTAGGTATGTGACCTATGAGTCGTCAATGTTTTACAAAGAAATGACACATTTATTTGTAAAATGCACAGTAGGGGGACAAAAGTGTTGACAAAAATGGTGTCGCACTGACGACACAAGAAAATTAACTCGAATAGAAAAACGGTAACTGCTTCAATTGGTTCTAATGAAATGCGAAAAAACATAAATAAAAGTTTAGTCAAGTGTCCTTTCAAGGTAATAATTTGCAAAAAGTTCGACGAGGAATAGACTGACAGAAGTTCTTTTGGTAGTTCGAAGTAATTTTCTTAATATTGAGTGATTCTTGATACAGATCATGATATGAATTTTTTGTGATGTAAATATTGTTACAGTTTTCTCTTTATATACAATTTTTGCACAATTCGCGCCCGGTGAAAAGGAGCATTATCGTCTTCTGGAAAAGATAATTCCACGTGTGATAGTGACAGGCCATGAAAGAAAAGATGTTAGTGTCTAAAACCAACTGCGACCCCTCCATTCTTTACCGCCTTTATTCTCCAAACATACCTGTGTTCATTTTCCCAAACATATAGTTGTTTCTTGTATTCATCACTAAAATTACTTAACTGAAAGTTATATTTTTGTAAAAGTTTACTATCTATTTTTTCTCAACACAATTACAGTCGCTTTTCCTGTACCACTTCTAATTATTTTTTTCCCTATAAATACCTCTGAAAAAGCATTGTTTCTTAAATCTGCATTTTACTGTCCTCTAAAAAACTGCAACATTCCTATTTCCATTGAATTTAGCCGTTATTTCATCCAAACGTTCATAAAGTTCAACATTACCCATTCTATGCAACCGTCGATATTCCCATTCATCAATCAATCGTTGTTGGCTTGATCTATGGCAATTTTAAAGATTTTTTGTGATTTGAAATTTTCTTATCAAATGCATGGTAAATAGATTTTACAAGGACGCTTTCGCTGCTTCTGCTATGTCTGCAATTTTTTCTCCATTCTGATAAAGCTATAAACAGTTCACTTTTTTCCTCCATTACTTGTTTGTCATCAACATGTAAACTGCAGAAGACGAAAAAAAAACGTATGAAGTCATATGACATTGTCTTGATCTATTGTGTCTTTTTGGATTCCCTATTACGTTGGCGGTAAGGAATAAAGATAGTGCTTTACCTTAGGTCAGCCGCAACCTACATTACAGGCGCCATGTTTTTGTCAACACTTTAATCCCCCTACGTTTAGAGTTTATTACCAGTTATAATATATTTTATATGATATCTGGGAGTATTATTGTCCTTAAACAGAAATCTAGGGGAAAAGGAGTAAAGTTTTAAACAAGAAACATATTTAATTGTTTATTTATCTCATATTAATTCACGGTTTCTATTCTGAAAGGAAATGGACAAAAAACTGGTGTATTGGAAACGAGACAGCAAGTAGTAGAAATGTGGGATCAACCCTTTACAAAAAAGTCAACACAGAAGACTTACCTCTTTCAGAAACTTAGATAGTGTAATATAATATTTTAATAATTGAATACAATATAGTTTGAATTTTACAGAAGCCTTTATTATATATAAATGAATAATTATTCATAGATATGTCATTTCGTGGAATTTTATACATGAATATCAATGTGTGCTTTTTATCTAAAAATGAATATATGAATGTATTCAAATAAAACAAATACAACTAAACTCTATCTTGCTCTGTAATTTCTTAATTTGAAGTGATCTAGTGATTTTCTTACAAATGTACATAAAGTCTCAGAATTGTTGCTGAAATTAAAAAAAAATAAAAATAAAACAAAGATAAGAATATATATTGAATTCATCCAGGTCTTATGAATTTGAAAAGGCCTATTATACAGAAAGTAGCCTTAGCAATAGCAGATGTAATGTTAAAATAGGAACAGTAATCAAGCTCAAAAATCTAACTGAGTTTTGCAAACTTAAGACAGAATAAACACGGACCCTAGAAACACCAGAGGTTGGATCCGGTGACATGGAAGAGTACGCATGCCCTGTCGACCGACTACAGTTATCGTGAACCGTTTTTCTTGATCTGCTAAACAGCTGAAATCGTAGACAAATTAGTCTGCAAATAATGACCTAACAGTTTGTATTAAAAACGTTGGTCAACATTCTACCTAACTACATATTGTATCTGCAAACAAAATATGCGAAATGTTGCCTTAAACGAGATTGTTGATACCCTTTGGAAATCAACTTATCTATCTGTAGTCTGTCTCGGTTTAGACATCGATCGTACACAACTTATGCTCTTGTTATCGACGGAATGTAGTAAATGACGATTTTTAACTTATTCTACTTTGTCTTAAAAACAAAAGGGCATCATTTCATGACTTTAAGCGATAAGGGCCATAATAATATCAAAATTGTATGACAAAAGAGGAACTCAGCTTATCCATCGTCAAATTTCCTTATTTATGTAGTTATATTTCACTATCACCTGCATATGGGGTTCACGTCTCCAAACTTATTCGATACTCAAAACCATGCACTGCATACGATCAATTTTTAAACCGATGCAGGCTCTTGAAGATAATTTCATGCTACAGGGATTTCAACAACATCGTTTTAAGTCAGCATTTCGTAAACCCTATGGACGTTATAAAGATCTTGTTAGCAAATATAACCCATCATTGGTTCGTATTTTGACTGGCATATTTCTAACCAATTGTTAGACCTTTGTGTTTATACCAAATTTGACTACAAAATATTCCGTCTAACTGATCGATACAAAGGGCCGACGGTGGGTTAGATCGGTCCACAGGGAATGCTTACTCCTCCTAGGCACCTGATCCCACCTCTGAAATTTTCATCCGTCCGAGTTTCATGCCCTGTTCATAGTCAACACTAAGAGAAAGCAGTGCTTTACGGTAGTCGTTAACTAAAATGTTTTACAAACAAGATTTATTTACATTTAAGATAAAGCAATGTACATGTATTAGGGTAGCATTAAATTTGTTTTACAAATAGTTTATTTACGTCTTAATTGAACACCTGGCCGCTAAAATGAGGCTTACATTAAAATACTCTTTTTCAAAATGTGATCAAACACACGTTTTAAAGTCTGCCAATATGACATTATAAATAAACAAATGTCCTTAACGATTTATAAAACAAAAATACTATATCACAACACTACACATGCCAAAACTTTGAATAATAAAACATTCATAAGAAAATGGACTTTTGATATATTGCTTTCTTTCAGTAACAGATATTTTGAAAATAAGTCCCAAAATTTTAATTGGAAAATAAGTGCGTTTTGCAAATAAACATGTATCGCCGATATAAACGTGCGAATTAGTGACAGTTGTAAAACAAATGCACA